GTGACCCTGCTGGGGCGGGGGGTTGGGCTGGGTGACCCACAGAGGTCCCTGCCAACCCCTGCCATGCTGGGATTCTGTGATTTCAATCACACGGTGAATCTGTAACCCTGGTTGTGCACAGGGTATGCACAATCCACGCAGCATGGCCAGGGCCAGGAGAACCAACCCCGCCATGCCCCACGCCAGCACTCCCACCCACCTCCCTGCTGATCTGCCCGGAAGGGTCTGTTCAGCTGGTCGAGGCCACCAGCTAAACCGAACGGCCGTACTTCCAGCCCGCCTTCCTTCTTAGTTTCGCGAGAGGAATTGTTCAAAGTGCACTAAGGCCGGGCAGAGGGTCCTCCCCACCAGCTCTGCCCTGAGACACTCCCAAGGAAACACCAGCAAGAACCCGCCGCAGGACCGAGCCTGGTTTCGGGGTGCCCACCTTTCCCCGCTGCGACCAGAGTGGTGGGTCCAGCTGCCCGTGGGGCAGGAGGCCGTTCTCCAGGCAGGACAGGAACTGCAGTAAGTGCCCTCCTCGGGGGAACCGCAGCGGGGGCCTCTGAATCCCATCCTGGCTCACCAAGACAACCGTCCCACCGCTGTCTACTGTTAGCGACAGGGACAGCAGAGAGAAGACACAGACATGAATGAGGGAAACATTACCAGTCAAAAATGCAGAGGGCAGGCAAGAAAGCTCAGGGAACTGTCTTTCTCGCATGGAAAAGGAAGACTTCCTTCCTTGTTTGGATTCATCTCTACGTCCACTACAGGCCTGGGGCCCTGGAGAAGGCTTGCCTTGGAGATCACAGCCTGGGAAACCACAGAGCACTGCTCTGCAGGGAGCACTCCCCAGCCAAGCACCGCAGCCGGGCGCTGGTTCAAAGGTTTTCCTAGCAGCACTGACACAGCAGTGACCACGCAGAGCTCCGGACGTCTGCCCTGGAGCTGCAGCAAAACACCCCCCTACGGGCACTCCCAAAGATCTAAGGAAGCAAGCGTCAGGGTGACGAACCCTCCCGCAGCCCCCCACTCGGGCCTTACCTTGCTGGTGACAGTGCAAATAGACAATCTCCTCCAGGCGAATCGTCATGGCATAGTCCCAGTACACGCTGGAACGGAGAACAAGAGGATGTCGTGAGCTTCAGGGATGCACGAGGCTCTGCTTCTGTTCCCACCAGCTCCAGACCCTCCCTCCACCTGTCCTGGCACCAGGGGAAGCTGCTGGGAGGATGAGGTTCCAGCAGCAGTGCGACTGCCACGGAGCCAGCCCGGTGAAGCGACAGCATCCCCGCAGAACCGGTGACTGTCCCTGGCACCACAGCTCCATCAGGGCAAGGCCAATCCCACCTGCCCCGGGCTCTTCACAGAATCACAGAATAGTAGGGGTTGGAAGGGACCTCTGTGGGTCATCTAGTCCAACCCTCCTGCCCAAGCAGGGTCACCTACAGCAGGCTGCACAGGACCTTGTCCAGGTGGGTCTTGAATATCTCCAGAGAAGGAGACTCCACAACTTCCTCCTGCCCCGGGCTCTTCCTCCACCCTCACGTCGATCCCAGACACGGACAACGTGCCCATGGATCCCAAGCATGGCAGGGAGGGACGTGGAGCCCTGCAGAGCTGAGCACTCTCCTCTGGGCGCCCCGGAGAGGACTCCCCACCCTACTGCGGAGCTGGGAGATCCCAGTGGACCCGGCAGGAGCACCCCGCAGCCCAAGGGAACGCGCAGCGCAGCCCCAGCCTGGGCTGCTGCTCTGCTGAGCTCCTGTCCCCCAGGGAGGGGGGAGAAAACCCTCGCAATCTGCGGGTTCTTTCAAAGCTGAAATTAGATTTGGTCCCAGCTGCTTCTGTCTGAGCACTGCGCTCCCTCAGCACAGGCACCCGAGGTGACTGAGCAAACCCAGAAAGCGCTGGGAGAGCTGCTGGTCCCCGGGCCGGGCAGAAGGCCGGAGAGACGCCGGGGAAGGGCAGGCACGCGGCCTCGCACAGGGTTTCACTTCTGTGGGGAGCCTGCCAAGAGCACTGCTCTGTGAGGGTGTCAGCGTTTAACAACATCCTGCTTCGTTGCAACAAAGCGATTTCCAGATTCTGAGCAGCGTTATCTGTCCCTTCACAGAAACAGCGCTCAAAAAGGCTCACACAGACAGCTAAGGACGGGAAGGGGTGTGTAGGAGCCACTCCTTGTGGAGTCACACTTACTCTGTCATCTGGCTCCTCTCTTCCTTGGCCGCGTCTTGACACTGGGAAGTTTTAGAGCTTAGGCTGATGCCCAAGTCAAGAACTCAGAAAAGTAGCGTAGAGGTGAAAATAGCATTTTAGGGGGAGAGTACCAGACATAACGGAATGGCCCAGGGGCCAGGAAGAAAGGGGAGATGAGAAGAACACAGGTAAACAAAACCCAAAAAGCTACAATAGAGAATAAACAAAACTGAGAACAAGTTTTGTTGAAGATCTCTCCCCCAGGTCAAAGAATCAGCGTCCTAAACACGTCAGCTTTCCTGGACTAGTTGCTGGTGGAAAGGGATTTTGCTGGCTTTTTTTCATTTCTCAGGCAAATTAGGACCTGGCATGATTCTGCGATTTGTTAGAAAGGATTAAAGCCACCAAGAGCAACGCCAGCAGCCCGTGAGGCAAATCCCAGGCAAAGGGGCACGGCAGTACACCCCGCCGAGCAAACGGAGCAGACCTCGGCCGCCCCGGGGGAACAAGCTCCAGGGACTCCGTTAAATCCAGGGGACTTTGAATTCCTGCCCGCAGGACCAGCCGCAGACCGCACTGCAGCAGCACCGCAAAACGGCACGCGCTCTGCTACCGAGGCGCGGTCATCGGGGAACCGCTCCCCTGCCCTCCCGGCCGACACGCTTCCCCTGGTCACCAGCTCCCGAGCCCCCTGACTGAACAACCACGCTGAACCTGCACGATGAACCTGCAAGCGCCGGGCAGCGCGCAGAGGGCATTCTCCCGAGGCAACGAACAAAATCACCGAGTGCCTTTCAGAACAAGCACCCTCCAGGCACCACTACAGCATCTCCCACCACCTCAGGCCTCCTTCGCCATCCCTTCCCCTCTCACACACTCAGGGGTGATCGTTCTGCTCCACTCAGTGGGAAAACCCACGGATGGCCTCGGACACCAGACCCAGGAACATTCACCTCCCCTCTGCCCCGCGCCAGGGTGCACTGGGAGCCAGTCACCTCTTCTCGTAGTCCAGATCCCCCACGGAGCCGTTCATCAGCTGGTTGGGAGTCCACTTCAGCGCCATGATGTCGGCCGTCTGGTGAAGCGACAGATATCCCGGGATCGCCTCCATGTCGTCTCGCTTCCGAGGAGAAACGCAGGGAGAGAGCGAGCTGGTGAGAGCCGGTGGGAAGACACCAGGAGCATGAAGCAGCACCCGAGCCTGCCCGTGGCTGAGCCATGCCCTGGAACACAGCTCTGGACCCTAACACAGCCCCGAGCCCGGCAGCTCCCCAGCAGAACCTGCCAGCAGAGCCACCGGGCCCCTCCGCAGCTCGGCAAACCGAGCAGCTCCACCCAAGCAGTCTGCGCTTCACTGACTTGACCACAGTCAGCAGCAAGGGACAGGAGGAGGTGTTCCACGGCCTCTGGTCAAGAGCGGGCAGGGAGAGGAGCCCGTTTCTGCTCAGACAGAAGCAGAGCTCCTCCATTCCACTGGGAAGATCCGTACCACCAGGGCCTCAACACACGCAGGCCAGCCGCTGCCTTCCCCGGCTAGAAATGAGCCTGCTTTGCTCCACCAAGGAGCAACTTGGGACAGAACAACCTGGCGGGGAGCAGAGCGGCACTCGAAAGCCCAGATGCCCCGGCGGGTACGTACCGGCTGCACCAGGACGTTGTTCTTGCCGTAGAGGAGCGTGGCTCGGGAATTCTGGTGCAGCGACTCCACGTAGTCCCTGGCAGACAGCGACGGCCGGTCGTCCATACTGCCACTCGAATGCCTCTTCTGAATCTGGAAGAGACCCACCTACAAACGTGAGGTGAGCACAGAGGCCTCTTGCTTTCAGAAAGCTTCTCTTCGAGCTCATTCCCTCCTCACTTAAATACTTGAGAAAGTCACTACTAGAAATCTTTCCCTTGGGGTCACCTACGAGGATTCCTGGCTCTGGCCAAGCTCGGTTCTGTACTTAGAGAAGCCCCGGGCGCGTGCTTTCTTTGCAATAAACAGAGCAGACTTCAGCTGCCTTTGCTTTTTGTTCACACGTGATGTTCTCAGCGGGCAGAGACGCCACGACGCAGCACCGCGCTGGTCCAGCTGGCTGGGCGAGTTGGGGATCCGGTGCCTCTGGACCAGCTCGTCAGCAGAGGGGTCTGTCCAGAAGTGGTCAGCAGTCTTCATCTTCGTGTACTCCAGCGCGCAGGGCCCCACTGCTCAGAGGAGAAAACTGCAAACGTTAGGAAGTCACCGGTGTCGGCCCGACGACTGTGGTCACCTCTCGGACCCGCAGAGCCCAGCGTCTTAGAGCACGGGTGGCAGGACAGCAGGCAGCCAGCGCCAGGCTCAGCACCCACTGCTGCGCTAACAGCAGCAAAGAATCCAGCGGGGTCGGCCGGCCCCGGCAGCGAGCAATAACCCAGTGCCCGCCCGGCCGTGCGCGCGCCGAGCCCTGCATCGCAGCCCCGCACTGCTTCCCAGAGCCTGGCTTACGCCCACCGCTCTTACCAAAACCTGTGCAAGAAAAGGAAACCACCAGGCTCAGCCTTGCACCTCCCCAGCCCTACGCACTGCCCAGCAGCTGTGCACTGTGTGGTCTTCATCAGGGCTACCCGTCCAGGGCTACCAAGTTTTCTGAAGTTCTTACTAGAAAGCAACTGCATTTCTTATCGCAGATCACGGAACTGGGAACACAGGTTTGGAAAGCACGCGATCGACGTAGGGTAAGAGGAAAGCGTTACCCAACAAAGATGCAAGAATTGGCCCATCCACAGGATCCATCAGGAGAGCTTCCTTCTCATAGTACTTACTAGAAAACATAAAAGAGAGCAGAATGCTGTAGCCTTTCAACCCTTGGGGACTACAAAATGACAGAGACAGTGGTTTCAAATCATTGTAATGCCCTTCTCGTTGTGCATCACTCCTTGACGGCGAGAGGGCAAGAAGCCCTTCACAGGCTGTTTCTGCTGGACGTGAAATTCCTGGGGAACAGATGCCCTCCCGCAGCACGTTGCAAGCGTCACCAGCTCCTAACAAAACACCCCAGGACTGGCGACGACACCTCCCCGGGGCAGGACACCTCAGCATGCAGTGTCCAGAAGACAAGGACAGTGTGGTCCCTAACAAGCCACCCGTCAGCAGAGCAAGCGTGTCCTGCCTTTATCCCAGGGAGCGCACAGCGGCCACCAGCAGCAGGGCATCGGCCAGAGTCCCCGCGATGGGTGCAGAGCCACCCAACTGGCCTGTCCCATCCAGGGGACCCGCCCGGCCGCAGCTCAGCCACAGGCACCTCCAGCACCGTCGGAAGGGGCGGACTGGGAGGCGCGAAGGCTTGGCCTGTGCCAGCACTCACCTGCTGTTTTCTACCAGGTAATGCACGATTTTATCCAAGACCTTTTCAAAGAGCGCTGTGCGGATCCAGAGGTGCTTGATGGCTTGAGGAGACAGGTTGGGCAGCTTCGGCATCTTGCGCACGTTCTCTGGGATGCCCTGGACTTGATTTCGTCTATTTAGAGGAACAAGGCAAAAGACATCATCATCACTGGCTCATCACTGAGCGCTGCAGGAGCCCAGGGCACTCACGGCACCTCGCGGGGCATGAGGCCGGGGCTTCTGTGGTGCTGCCCGGGGTGGCTGGGGGATGCCCAGGGAACCGCGTGGGGACAGGGCTCTGGAGACTGCTCCCTCCATCTCCTCCACCCCCTGCTCCAGAAGGCCCACAGCTGCATTTGAAGCCTGCCGCCAGAAATCCGCTTCCCTGCCGTAAAGGCACCCTAGGACAAGCCTCTGCCTCATCAACGTTCTCCAACCCGCAGGCCTTGGTGCCCGAGGTCAGCAGTTTGCGAGCAAAGCGGCTTTTCTTCGGACAGCATAAAGATTCCTGCCCCCGGGCAGCTGCTGCATCCGTCTCCCTGGTTCCTGGCCAAGGACGAGAAAGCCACTCTCCCACGGAGGCTGAATTACTGCAGGTTCAAGCCCTGCACACCAAGACAACTAAACTGGGTTCCAGCTGGCTTAGTGCACTGGTCCACAAACTGCGACCACTCAGGAGCGACCATGCTCAGCTGTCCCCGAAGCGTGGGACAAGGGGCAGAGGAAGCACGAGCTTGGCCGCTCTAGCTTAAACCACAACCTCAATTCACAGCCTCCTAGAAACGTGCCCAGTTCGCTCAGGAAATCAAAATCCCAGGACAGGACCCTGCTCCACGGAAAGGGCAGTTCCTCCGGAGAGGCTCAGGGTGGCCACCGCCATCCACAGCCACCCCCCCACGACGCGCCCCCGCTGAAACGCCAGCAACCCCTGGGATAACAGCGACGCTGGTGCCTTACGCGTTCTCAATGAGCTGCTCCAGGTCTTGCACCTTCTTGCAAAGCTCCTCTGCCAGAGGAAAGCTCTTGCCCACCTTCATAAACAGAGCTGCTATCTTATTGCTGCGCAGGAATCCCGCCGCCCTCCGCTTCAAGCCGTACAAGACGCAGGCTTCCACAGCGGCTGCAACAGAGCAAAGTCGTCACCGAAGCGGCAGGAAAACTCGGAGCTCACGTCACAACGGCCAGTCTCCTGCTGCACCCATGACCTTACCCCACAGCAGAAAATTTTCCCAAGAGGAAACCGGTGCCTTGCTCCGTTCCTGCCGAAGCAGAGCGGAGATAGGGAACCCAGATGTCATCTGACCCAAAGCAGCAGAGAGCGGAGCAGCTTTTCTGCCCGCAGAGCCGTCAGTTCTGCCGACTACACAGAGGTACAACTTCAGTTTTGCGAAACAGAAAAAGAGAAGTTGAGGTTGGTGAAGTCTATCAGAAGTCCAGTTCACCTGCACAAGAGGGCTGGCTTGATGGAAGCAAACACGAACCGTGGGTGTGCCAAGACGTAAGCACTTCAGAGGAGAGTTCGCTTGCGCCTGCTACAGCAGATCCAGGGTCTCCCTGAAACCACCTGAGAAGGACTAGTCAGGCAGACTAACTCGTCTCGGACCCACCTATCTGACCAGCCTGGAGACCTTCCCAGACTAGCGATGAACGGGCAACACGCAGCTTTCGGACCACAGCGAGCAGCCCGCGCCGACGAGCCAAGCCAGCAGCCTGGACTAGGGCTTCTCGGAGGGTTTCAGTCACAAAAACAGAGCGGGAGAAGGGGGTTGGACTTTGCTCCGAAAACGCCAGGATCCCGCTCTGCTGCACGATACCCCAGATGCAAACGAGTCGCTGCTACCGCTGGGAGATCTCAGCGTGCGCAGAGGTCACAGAGGTCACGTCGCGCTGCCAGGTCTGCACCGGCACGACCGCTGCTACCAGAGCGGTGATTTTCCCAGCAGAGGAGCGACCGGCTCACGGCGCGGCAGCAATCGCACGGCTCAGGAGCTGCCAAGAGCCCGCTCACACAGTCGCTCAGGTCAAGCCCGTGGGAGTAAATGGTTTATCTGCAGTTCAACACAAGGAAGAACTTCTCTCTGAGGGTGACGGAGAGGCTGGAAAGTTGGGCAGAGAGGAACCTGATGAGGTTCAACAAAGGCAAATGCAGGGTCCTGCACCTGGGGAGGAACAACCCCAGGCACCAGGACAGGCTGGGGCTGAGCTGCTGGAGAGCAGCTCTGCGGAGAGGGACTGGGAGTGCTGGGGGACGACAGGGTGACCATGAGCCAGCAGCGTGCCCTGGGTGCCAAGAA